CAAGCACAAGGAGTATGGGATGTAATTAAAAATGCAGAAACGGACGAACGTAAAGATCGGATGGCTCTTGCGGCTATTTATCAAGCAATTCCAGAGGACGTACTTCTAATGTTAGCTGAGAAGGACACAGCTAAAGAAGCATGGGAAACGCTCAAGATGATGCACATGGGAGCCGATCGGGTCAAGGAGGCTAAAGCTCAAACCTTGAGAAGTGACTTCGAGGTGATCCGGATGAAAGACAGTGAATCGGTAGATGATTTTTCCATGAGATTGAATACTATCGTAACCGGTATTCGATCTCTAGGTGAAAAGATTGAAGAAATTACGGTTGTGAAGAAGTTTTTGCGAGCCGTACCGATACGATTTATACAAATCGTAACATCGATCGAGCAATTCGGAGATTTGAAGAATATGACGGTGGAAGAAGTTGTGGGTCGTCTTAAGACCCATGAAGAGAGACTTCGAAGCTATGGAGAAAAAGAAGAAGGACCTTCTCTATTGCTTACACATGCCGAGTGGGCATCTCGTTCGAAGCAAACTGGCGAGAGAACTCGTCAAACACTTCAAGAGGACGAGGAGGACATGGTAACCGAGGCCGGGGACGAGGCCGAGGTCATGGACGTGGCCAAGGAGGTGGTCGCGAGTACAATACAAATCGGAATGACCATAATCCTTCTCGAAAGGATAAAAGTAAAATCAAATGCTTTACTTGTGAACAATTTGGTCATTATGCTTCGGAGTGTCCAAACAAGAATCGAGGTTAGGAAGCAAACCTCACTCAAGCCAACGAAGAAGAGCCTATTTTAATGATGGCAACCTCACAAGAATATGCACACAAAAAAGTGTCTCTAAGAAAGAAGATTTGTGTTAATCTTCTTGCATCGGGAGAAAGTCGAGTCGAGTCTGAGGTATGGTATCTCGACAACGGTGCTAGCAATCACATGACTGGAGACCGCTCAAAGTTTCGCGAACTAGATGAGCACGTTACGGGCCATGTGAAATTTGGGGATGGTTCGACCGTCGCTATTTTGGGAAAATGGTCGATTTTATTCGATAGCAAAAATGGCGACCAAAGACTCCTTAATGAGGTATATATCATTCCAAGTCTAAAAAACAATATTATTAGTCTTGGACAAATGATGGAGGAAGGGAGTCGGGTCATAATGGATGGGTCGGATCTGACATTGTTTGACAGAAACAAAACTCTACTTTTGAGAGTTAAACGATCCCCAAACCGGTTATATAAAACTTCTTTAAGGACCGGTAGACCGACTTGTCTTTTAGCAACAAAAGACGAACCAGCTTGGATATGGCATTCTAGACTCGGTCATGTTAACTTTCTCACCTTAAAGAAGTTGTCCGAAAAGAATATGGCAATCGGAGTCCCAAAGATTGAGCACCCAAACCAAGTATGTGAAGGATGCGTTCTTTCCAAACAAACCCGAATTCCTTTCCCTGATCATGCAGTTTTTCGAGCTCAAAAACCTCTACAACTTGTTCATGCGGACTTATGTGGTCCGATCACACCTACGTCTGTTGGAGGGAGTAAATATTTTCTCCTTTTGGTAGACGATTTTAGCCGGTGGATGTGGGTTTACATGCTATCGGAGAAGTCTCAAGCCTTGAGCGCTTTCAAACGGTTCAAGTTGATGGTTGAAAAGAATTCGGGTTATCAAATAAAGACACTTCGAACGGACCGAGGGGGAGAGTTCACTTCAAAAGAATTCTCATTATTTTGTGAAGAAAATGGTATTCAAAGGCATCTTAGGACACCATATTTGCCTCAACAGAACGGAGTTGTAGAAAGGCGAAATCGGACCGTTATGGACATGGCAACAAGTCTGCTCAAAGGTAGAAATGTTCCGGGAGAGTTTTGGGGAGAAGCGGTTAGACATGCAGTTTATCTTCTCAACCGCCTGCCAACAAAAGTACTTCCCGACAAGACGCCTTATGAAACGTGGTTTGGCAAAAAGCCCAACCTTGAACATCTAAAAGTTTTTGGTTGTGTTGCTTTTGCTAAACTTGTAGGTGGTCACTTGAAGAAGCTTGATGATCGAAGTAAGAAGATGGTGTATTTAGGTGTGGAAGATGGAACTAAAGGCAACCGTTTGTCTGATCCGCAAGACCGAAAGTTGCGAGTTAGTCGCGATGTTGTTTTTGACGAAAAAGAAGAATGGAATTGGTACAAAAACAAAGAAGAAGAGATGGCGACTCCTAAGACCTTTACCATAATTGAACCACAACCCCAAATACACCTCGAAACACCTCAAAATGACCCCGAAATCAATCCGGAACAACCAAACAGCCCAGGAATCGATGCTATCCAAGTTGGACAACCATATGCTGAATTTGACGAGCCTGAACCAGCTCCACATACTCCTGTCTCAGCCCCGTTTTCTTCAACCTCGCCCCATATGGAAAGCCCTTCTAGTGAGATTGGGCCAAGGGGATTGCGTCCGTTAACCGATATTTATTCTGAGACCGAAAATGTGTTCCTTGAACCCGGAGAATTGTTGATGATTGCAGCGGATCAACCCTTGAATTTTAAAGAGGCGGTAACCTCTAAGGCATGGCAGGAGGCTATGCAAACAGAGTTGGATGCAATCGAGAAGAACAAGACATGGCAACTTACCGATTTGCCATCCGGACACAAAGCAATCGGTTTGAAATGGGTGTTTAAAGTGAAGAAAGACAACTTGGGAAAAGTGGTGAAGCATAAAGCTCGACTTGTAGCAAAAGGATTTGTACAAAAGGAAGGAGTCGACTTTGATGAAGTTTTTGCACCGGTAGCACGACTTGACACCGTAAGGCTCATTCTTGCCTTAGCAGCTCAACATGGGTGGGTTGTCCACCATCTCGATGTCAAATCGGCTTTTCTCAATGGAGATCTCAAAGAGGAGGTTTATGTCACCCAACCAGAAGGATATGTTGATAAAGCAAACAGTCACAAGGTGTTCAAGCTTTATAAAGCTCTTTATGGTCTACGACAAGCTCCTCGAGCTTGGAACATTCGTTTGGATAAAAGCTTAAAAATGCTTGGTTTTACAAAAAGTTCACAAGACCCAGCTGTTTACAAAAGGAACTCAAAAGACAAAATTCTTATTGTTGGTGTCTATGTTGATGACTTGATCATTACCGGGTCGAACACTAATGATGTTGTCGAATTCAAAGAACAAATGAAGAAAGAATTCGAAATGAGTGACTTGGGATTACTTTCTTACTACCTTGGAATCGAAGTTTCGCAAAAGAAGTGGGGAATATCTTTGCGACAAACGGCTTATGCAAAGAAGATTTTAGAGCAATTTGGGTTGCTGGATTGCAATCCGACAACGTCACCAATGGAACCTAAGTTGAAGGTTAAGAATGATGAAGATGGTGAAAAAGTTGATCCAACTGAATATAGGCGAGTGGTAGGTTGTTTGAGGTACTTGACTCACACTCGACCAGACCTGTCATTTTCGGTTGGAATTGCAAGTCGTTTCATGGAGGAACCAACCACTTTGCATTTCCAAGTTGTGAAACACATCTTGCGATACGTAAAAGGAACCGTTGATTATGGAATCAACTATGGAAGAGGTCGTGAAATTGAAGATTTGGTTGGTTTTACCGATAGTGATCTTGGAGGTGACCCTGTTGATAGCAAGAGCACAAGTGGAATGATTTTCTATCTGGGAAGGAATGCGATAACTTGGCAATCCCAAAAGCAAAAGACTGTTGCTTTGTCCACGTGTGAAGCCGAGTTCATGGCAGCTACAACAGCAGCATGTCAAGCCATTTGGCTTGCTAATCTCGTGAAGGAGCTCACGGGACATCATATTATGCCTATCACCTTATATGTCGATAACAAGTCAGCAATCACATTGATGAAAAATCTTGTGTTTCATGGTCGAAGCAAACACATTGACATTCGTTATCACTTCATACGAGAATGTGTTGAACGTGGGCAAATTATAGTGAAATATGTCAACTCGAAGGATCAACGGGCGGACATCTTTACAAAGGCTTTAGCATACGTGAAACATAGTGAAATGCGAAACATGATCGGCGTGACGAATCTCTAGCCAAGTTCGGCTTAAGGGGGAGAATGTGAGTGTAAACCAGACTTGGTGTGAACCTGACATCAGTAGCTGCGCCTCTATTTATGTTGACAATAAGAACTCAAATGGCAACTTCGTATGTTCACATAATGAACACAATAAATGGTAGCAGTAGTAATTGTAGGCTTGTTTAAGTATAAATAGAGGCTCTAACCTCAGTTGTAAGACACCAAAAGTAGAGAGTGTAGTGTGTAATACTTAGAGTGAGTATTAGAGGGTTGTTTCTTTTTCTTGTAATATTGAGCGTGTAAGCTCTTCTCTTTTGTTCTGGTTCTGAACAAAAGTGTGTTTCAACCCCAATAGTTGTTAGTCACAGCTGCTCACTATATTGTGTTTTACCACGTTATTATTTAAAGTCTATGTAAGAAGTTTTTGCGTATTGAAATCAGCTAAGGGCAGAAGCTGTCAAGCATCAAAACATGATTATTATCTTTGGGAATATTATAAGTAAATACTTTTTCATCATATATATACTTCTATTCTATTGACCAAAATGATAGAAATTTCTGATATCTGAATTCTCTATGGGAATCTAAATCCGAAACGAATGACTAAATCCGAAACGAATGAGATTAGGATACCAAAATCCATTACCTCCGAGCATTAGAACATAACATCCCTAATAAAAATAACCGTCTGGGTTAACATGGAATCTGATTTGCTTATTGGCATTTTGTCAGGAAGATATATTGTGGTGAACGTATACTTTCTTTAGGATATGAATAGAAGAAAACTAAATCATAATTTCAAGCCAAGTAGATTCATTTGATACGTTGATCTAATAAACAACTGTGATTAACCTAAATTTTTACTTTTCCATGTAAAATATCTAATCTATGTCAAATTTTATGCAGTAATAAACAAGAATTGGTGAACGGAGTTGGAATTTTAGTAATGTCAGTCATGATGAGGACTTCCCCCTTGCTTTTTCTACAGGACAAAGCTAAGCTCCTAAGATACATAAGTGGGACTACGAACCTTGAGTTGGGCAAAATATATTCCGATCGTTTACTGTCTACTCAGTGGTCTCGTGATAATATACCCAAGCATTTTAATGCTCCGATCAATATTTACTCAAAACGTAAAGCATCGGGATTTGCTCACAATGTTTGTAATATAATGCCGAATCCTTTCCAAAACGCGTCTGGTCTTCAAGTTCTTGAATTTTTTAAATCAATGGTTTCAGAGCACGATGTGTATTGCCCTAATGAGTATATATCCGCATTGGTGCTTTCGTCTTGTGTAAACTCTGGGCACCTTTTATATGGCAGACAATGTCATGGGTATATGTTAAAATCGGGATTAGTGTTCAATAAGTACATGGAAAACGCTCTTGTGTGCTTGCATTCCATGTTGCCAGATGTGATAGGGGCTATGCAGGTTATAGCTTCTAATGATAGATTGGATATCCGCTCTTATAATCAGATGTTGGATGAACTTGTCGAGAAAGGTTTCTTGGATGACGCATTGAGTTTCTTAACGAGAATGTCTGTTGTAGATAAGGTGTGGAACAAAGCTACTTATATTGGTCTTTTTGGTCTTTGTTGTAAACTTGATGATTTGGACTTGGGGCGTGAAGTACACAACAAGCTGCTAAAAAGTAATGTCGAGTTTGATGTGTCTGTATGCAGTGAAATGATTAAGATGTATGGGATATGTGGAGATATTTTAACTGCTGCAAAAGTTTTTGACATGTATGAAGTTCGAAACGTGGTTATATGGACAGCAATGCTGGCTGCTTTATCGGATTACGGGTCGGTTGAGGAGTCGTTAGAATTGTTTTCGGATATGCAGCATGAGAATGTTGCTCCAAATGAATATACGTTTTGTGTACTACTCGATGCTTGTGCTAAAATATTATCTTTGAGATATGGTAGTTCGCTGCATGCACTTTCACATAAGACTGGATTCAAGGATCATAAGAATGTCGAGAGTGGCTTGATTGACATGTACGCGAGGAGTGGTGACATTAAAGCTGCTGAAAAGGTGTTTTTAGGTTCGACTTATCGTGATACTTTAACCTGGAATATCATGATCGGTGGATATGCGTATCATGGCCTTGGTAGCAAGTCGTTGGCCTTGTTTAAAAAAATGTTGGAAAAAGGGGAAGATCCTAATTCTTTGACTTTTATCTGTGTTCTCAATGCCTGTGAACATATGGGGCTTGTGGAAGAAGGGTACTACTATTTGTACGAGTTCATGGAACAAAAGGGTGTCAAACCTGGTTTAGAGCACTATATGTGTATCATTAGTATTCTAATAAGGGCTGCACGACTAAGAGAAGCTTTATGTTTTATTGCATCGACACCATTGAAATGGCATGAATATTCTTGGGTTGCCTTGCTCAATGGTTGTCAGGAACATCAAAACTCCTCTCTGTTCAACCGAATTGAACAGTTGATCCCTCATGATCTGACGCCTAAGGTGAGTAAGTTGTGTAGAGTCAGAAAGTTCCATCGTCTGTTGAAACTAACTGCTCCAACCGAAGGCGGTGTGTGCATGTTGGATATCAACAAAAAAAGATATGAGTTTCTTACGGTAGACAATGAGGACCTAGAGTTTGATGCGCTTGATGACGTAATGAAGCCGATGTTTGAAGCTATTAATGACGACTCAGCTAATCTTGATGACATTAATGTTTCGGATGAAATGAAAGAAGATCGTTCTGATTATCACAGCGAGGAGGTTGCAGTAGCTTATGCCCTGCGGTACACACCTTACATAGCAACGATCCGTCTCATAAAAAGCTCAGGGAGGATATGTGATCGTTGCCACTCTCGAATGAAATTAATTTCAAAAGTCAGACGTAGGAAGATAATGGTGAGGGACCAGCTCCAATTCCATAACTTCCAAGATGGACGTTGCTCCTGTGAAGATTATTGGTGATACACATATATACACCAAAAAGGGAAACCCAAAAAAAGAAGTGCAACTCTAGCTCTGTATATTTCCTTAAAGAAACATTGATTTTTAGGGGGAAATCAATATTCTCTACCTCGTTTGAGCATATGTACATGTGACCACACCTAGCCATTTCTTTAGTTCGATTTAAAGATGAAGAAACTTGTTGCATTATGTGGAGAGTTTTATTAATTATCATGAACCCGGGTGACAAATGGAGACAAATTAAAAAGACCCAACCTTTGTAAAGAACACTTGTTACACTTTTCTTTAGATCCCATACAAATCAAATATGTCTTAAGGTCGTCTTCTTGGATCACAGATATTTTTCGTGTTATCAGGCCGGTCCAAGTCAACTATAAAAAAGATTCGAAAAAGTACTGTTTATGAAAATCATAAATAATGTCCACAAAACACAAATATAATCACAACTAGAAAAGTGTCTCCCGCTTTGCGGGGGTCAGAAGCCTTCAATGTCGTTTTTCCGGAATCCTTTAATGTTGGTTTTTTGTTATGATTAAATGGTACTGCGTTTAATATTCATTAGCTTGATTACCACGTTTCTGTCAAACGCAGAGTAAAAACTCAATCTCTTTATAAAAGAAACCGGAAACCAAATTCAAAGTCTGCCATACCATATCAAAGATATAGCATACACAAATAGTAATGAAAAACATAAAAAAAATTATAGTCCCTTAGCAGTTGATGAATGAGCAAATAAAACCATTGATTCAATAATGTGTATGTAACCCCACAACCTCTTTGTGCTCCAATCGATCCAACATCCCTTTACCTTTGTGAGAAAATTCACGACCACCCTCTTTTGCAACCTCTCCTTGACCCTACACAAAAAATATGTCATTAACCGAAAGAAAGTAAGTACAATTACCGCATTAAACATCATTGTGAAGTGTTCTTTATATATGGTGCAAATTGGTCAATCAATTATCTTTATTACTTTTATTTTAACAAAATTGTCATTATAAATTACACAGTAAAAAATATACTGTTTTGCAATTTTACATTCCATTCTGTAATGAAATGAACAATTTCATCCCCGATTCTATTATATCAATCCATACAATTAAAAAAATAAATAAATAAACTGAATTACAAACAAAGAAAGCTACCTTTCTGGGACATGTTAACCAGGGAAACGACCCATAAAATTAGCAAGCTGCACATAACAAAAGGGGAGAGAAAATGTTGTCATATTACATTATTTCAAATTAAATAATAACAATAAATGTATTCCACAATTTAAAAGAGAATTTTCTCACCACAAAGGGAAAAGAACATGTTTTGCCAATTAGGAGTAATTGATGTAACATTCTCAAAAACGTTAACTAAGACAGAAAAAAAAAGGAAAGACAAATAGGTATATGGTTTGCATCTGAATGCATTGAGTCGGGCTTTAAATAACATTAACTTCAAACCAATTGCTAGCTAGCCAAAAGTGAAAAACAACAGTAAGCAGAAAAAGAGCAGTTTGATGAAAATGCCTCTGATCCATTAAATGATAATTGAGAGAAATGAACAGCCCAATGATAAACTCGGAAAAAACTTGAGGAGTCTCCTTATTACGCAGATCAATTTCGCAGTCAACAAAATGGTAAAAAAGAAAGAAAAATGCCCTTGGAGCCTTGACCAAACCTGTCTAAAACTGTTTAAAAACCTTTTAATTTTTTTGTTGTTTCCCTTTTTCTTTTTTTATTCCAATTTCGGCCTTTCATGATCACAAAACCATGTAATAACTTGCAATCTTTAAGCTTAAACAAAGATTGACCAAATTGCCCTTTAATAGCATAATACAAGTTACTGATTTTGAAGAAAAACCTGCACCAATTCCAAATATGGAATGATGTCAAGTTAGTTGTAAGCCTAAAAATGGAAAAAGTAATTGGGCATCCGTTAAAATCAAGACCTAAAACACATGCTTTAAACTGCACATTATGTTTAAAAACCAAGAATTCACCATCGCTTATTGAGACTCTCCCTGTAAAACCAATTTCTTGCCGAATCCATCAGTTTCCCTCAGTCATCCCAAGGGATTCACTACCCTAGACACCCATCCAAATAAATCACTCAATCGGAAGAAGCAAAAGAAAAAATTAAAAAGATAGGAGTTGAAGAAATTGAACCGAAAATTCTATTCCATGTATTGTTGAATTGAAGGTGCATGCCTACCTAACCTGCAAAAATTGACATATATTGAGGAGCAAGTCCAAAGTTATAACACTTATACAAAAAAACAAAGGAGCTGATAATAGATATGGATATGTTGGCTCCCAAGCACCTGTCATTTGTAGAATTGCAGACAAAAAAAAAATTCTTTACTTTGGTTTCTTTTGGTTCGTCATTAAGAGAAGATTATGAGTGAAGGAGCAGCATTTGAATCAAAAATATTTTCTTTACTTTTTTTTCTTTGGTTCAGTAACCAAGACATCCTATTCAATTTCACAAAAAAAAAACATAAAAACTATCTTCCTTTCTTCGTCAAGCACATGTTTCTTTCACTCTCTTGTAATTACCAACACTTTGAGCACTCTTTACATCAAGCATGGTGTAATTACATCAAGCTATAAATCTTAACTATATAGTTGAAACTAATTCTAAGGTTTGTATCTGAAACAGATGCTTAACTCTAGCGGGTAGTTGGAAAAATTTTAAATATAATTAAGAAAAATACATTAAGAACTCACTAAAGTAAGAAATTGAATGGATAAAAACATGTTATATATTTACTAAACCGTTAATATATAAAGTATATGTTTTATATTTAAAAAGAATAAATAACTATCATTACGTAACATAGTGGTTTCTAGAATGGTAGTCAAAACTATACTTTTTTCTCATACTATTATGTCACCTGTACCACCTATGACCTACCAACGGTTTTCATAGCTTCCAATAGACTCCAGATTTCAACTATTACTAACAGGATCTTTGAATTGAAAAAGACAACATGTAAACGAAAAAAAAGAGGAAAAGTTAAATCAACTAACCCCCTTTGATGAACTTCATGCTTTTGCTCCATAAATTTGACCTAAGATGAACAAAAACACACGATCTCCGCTTTCTTTACTTAAAACACCAATAACCTACTCACTGATAATCAACTAAAAAATAGAAAATAAAATAAATCAATATCAACATAGAGGAAGATTCAGATAGCAGTAGGAAGAAGAAATAGTTGAGTTGAAGGAAGATCAATTCATATCAAACATTATTTGAGTATTTGCAGAGGGGAGAATTTTGGGAACAATTCATACCTGGAGTGTGGTTTAACTCCCTTTTATCCTCGTTACATCTCACTTATCTCTCCTAAAGCATGCAATGACTTCAATTTCAGCCCCAAAAAAAAATTATAAAAATTATCAAACAAACCTGACGATTGAAATGGAGCGGCCAATTTGATACGAAGGAGGTGGGGTCGATGAGTCGGAGCACCAGTCAACGACGTCAACCTTTGCTGTAAAAAAATAATCACCAACTGAAAACCTTATGAACATTAGGGTTCAAGAAATTGGAAACGAACAGAACAAAAAAGATAGAAAATCAATTAAGCCCAAAAATATAAAGAAAGCAGATCAATTAATCCCAATACAGAAATCAAGAAAGAACGACAACACTAATCAGGTCGCCGCTGCCCTTTCAGGAGGAAGATGTTGGCTTCAACGAGTTTCAGATAACCTCAGAGCCAAAAACCCACATAGAACAACCACCACCTACAAATCGCACCATCCTTATCTATAAAAAATCTGGTAGGATTTGTGGAATAAAGCATCCGAAAATAAACCCTTCGTGTATAGATAAGATGGGAAGACAGTGGAGACGGTGTTGGACCACGCAATCACCGGTAACTGCTCGGACGGTGATGGATATGTCGAAGCTGAGATAAGGCGGTGGAGAATCTTCTCGCGGTGGAAGGACTAGATGAACGTCGTTAGGTTTGGGAGAATTATTAGTCGAACCTGATGCAATTACCACCTGTAACAAAGAAAACGCACATCGGAACTTGAGTTCGCGAGGAGAAGAAAGATTAAAACGTAAATCGGAGTTATTAGAACATACGGTGGGGGAAGGTGGGTGGTGATGAGACTTATGACAGTAATGGGGTGAGACAGCGGTTTGGAGGAGCGTATGAGGAAGAAGCAACCAACATCCGGTCGGAAGAAGACAGAATGCTATGGAGAGGCGGTGACCATGGTTGAGTGAGTAACCTGGATACCATTCACCATCTAAGTCGGTGACACAAATGGATTTTTGGGGCGGTGGCTGCTCACGTGTACAGAACACGTATCACTTTTGAATGAAGGGGTGGATCCCACCTGGTAACCCTGGTGGTAACCCTGGTAGACAACCAACCCACGTGTCCACCAAATATAACCCATTGACCAGTCAATAACGAAGAATGGAAAGAAAATAAAAATAATAAAGTGACAAATACAACAAAATATAGGGACTTAAATGGCAAAAATAACAAATTGAAGTAGAGGGACTAAAAGAGACAAAGATGTTACATCTACTTTTCTTCATAACTTTAATATATATATAATAATTAAAAAAAAAGTAAAATAAAATAAAATAAAATAACCATAAATATTAAATAAATGCTTTTTTTCAACATTGATGAAAAACTTCTATCTCTGATATATGATGAAATATTAACAAAAACTGTTAATAAAATTTTATAAATTACTATTTCGTTAAATAAGATGCAATTGTAACAAGATCGGCTAATAAGATGCTAGAACAAGAAAAGGCACCTTTAGAGACGACATAAATCGTCGCAAACAGTCAAGAAAGCCACCCCAACAGGTATTAGGGACGACATGTCATCTCAATTGGGTCGCCACAAATACCTCGTAGCTAATACTCAAAAGTCGTCCTTAAAGGCGTCGTCCCTAATACATGTCGTCGCTAATACCAGACATCGTCCCTAAAGGTGTCGTCCCTAATAATATTTCGGTCATCGGCCAGTGTTACTCCGGCCAAATATTCCGGCGGGATTTGTCGTCGCTAATGCTCAAGATCATCCCTAAAGGTGTCACCACTAATGTCTGTTTTTCTTTTAATAAAATTTATATTTTATATTAGATTATATTATAAAAATGCAGAATTTATAAAATTATAAAACTTATAATTTAAAATTCTGCATTACATAAAACATCAAATAACATACACAAAGTATATCACATTACATAAACAATCTAACAAACATGAAATAATAGTCGAAACATGAAATAGTAGTCGATCTAGTCCATACTCTAATAAATCCATAATAACATCTGAATTCATAATAACATCATCCATAACATAAAACAATATATACTAATCGTCTTCCCCATCGTCGTTTTCCTCGTCGTTGTTGGTTGCATTGTCGACTTGCTTGCTAAATGAGCGGATAATATCTCCAATTGTCGTCACAAACGCTGGATTTTGGAGAAAAACGTTAACATCCACATCCTACAAAGTAAGAATATAAGTAAAAATATATCGAACTATAAAAACAAATTATTATTACTTAATAATTAAGTCACAAACACACTAAGTCCTTAAAAATTTAACAAACTACCAAATTCATAACAATTTAACAAACTAACAAACTAACAAACTACCAAACTATCAAACAACAAAATTCACAACAAATTAATAAGTATATGTGTTGGTTGCAGTGTTTGTGACTGTGACTGCCACTGGGTGTGAGCTCACTTGTATCCGCTACGGAAGGCTTAGGCTCGATGTCTCTCACATGTCCCCTTCGAGCACCTAACACCTTCTCAAATAAGGCTATCCAATCAATGGAGTCCGGATCATCACCAAAGGCGGCTATGTGCTGAGTTTGTAAACAGCAACTAAAGCATTCTGCATTTCACGAAGATTGTCAATATACTTCAAAATCAACACAAAAAAAAAAACAACATTTTACTTCATTTTTAAGTAATAATAATTTACATATTGTTCTTCAACTAACGGATCAACGAATTCCCCTTGTTTATTGACATGTGCACGGTGAAATACTTCAAGTTTATTCAGATTCTTTTTAACATTAAAAAATATGTTATACTTAAATAAACATTACAAGTGGGAGTTGTTTTTCTATTATAGCATTCTATTTTAAATGTGAATTATAGCATAGATTTTTTTTTTGTTTTTTGAATTAACATTGTCAATCATAACATTTTACATAAAAATACACATATACACAAGCAAATAATGTCGTCCCTAAACGTTATATTTCTTGTTGTGAATACACATGTCTTAACACAAGTAAATGCATCTAAGTGAAATAAAGGTTATTGTGTTGATAAAAGAGATGAAAAATAGAAACAAATAACGTGGCTATTACCCATACCAAATACACATATATACACATATATTTTATACATATAGACACACCAAATACCAAATACACATATACACACATATATTTTATATATATACACATACCACTTATTTTTTTTTTTTTTCTATTACGATATTGTATAATTTCATATTTATTTTTATTTATAGCATCTTAGTTATTTTGTTTTTTTTATTATAGTATACTACTTTAAAAGACATTGTGCATTATGACATCCTATTTTTTTTTCCAATTATACAATCATATACATTTCACATTATAACATCAAATACACTTACATATACATTTCACATACAAATACACATACATATACATTTTTACATACATATACAAACATATACATACATTTTTACATAGATATACAAACATATACACACATTTTGACATACATATCCACACATATACATATATATTTATATAAATATATACATATACATACACATTTCACATACAAATACCAACATTTCATATACCTACATTAAAAACAGAAAAATAAAGAAAACAAACCTGGAAATCGATTTGGTTGTGGTGTTGTGGTCGAGGTCGCCAGAGAAGAGGTGGTATCACCGGAGAAGAGGCTGTGAAACCACCAAAATCACACTAAAAATCCAAAATTACCACAAAAGTTCGTTCCATAAAAGAAATTGAAAGAGAAAGGAAGGAAGGGACCTACCGTTGTTGCAGATGCCGGAAAATCGGAGTTTTCTCATCGGAAAATCGGAGTTTTCTCGCCGGAAAACGTATCACCGCCTGGGCCAAAGTGGGGGAGAGAGGAGGCGTGAAAAGGAAAGGAGAAAGGAGAGGCTTTGTGGTCATGGTCGCTGAAAAAATCGATTGGAGGATCGGTTGTGGTGGTCTTCGCCGGAAAATCGCCGAAAAGAGGAATTGGGAGTGAAGTTGGCTATAACTTGTTTTGAGACACGATGAGGAGCTAAAAGGGGCCAACCCTTTAGCGGTGACACTATTTGCGGCGACAGGATGGAAATTAGGGCAACAAGTTGGAGGGAAGATATCCCGCGTCTTTTTTGGTGACTAGTAGCGACGACGACGTCGTCTCTATTGTCGTCGCCGCTATTGCTTTGGTACGGAGAAACCCCCGTTGGATCAGATCAAAAAGGAACGGACATGATTGACTCTAGGCGAAGTCACACGGATCGTGATGTACACTGTTAGAGGCGACCCTTTAGCGGCGACGGGTATCGTTTAGCGACGACACAAACGCATATTATCATGTGTCGTCCCTTATACTACCTCTCGTCTCAAGTTAATATATTTTTTTGTTTAACTTATTATCATGTTCATTTGAATAAGAACTCATTTGAAATTTTTATCCATATATCCTTTTTACTTTTATAACAAAGCATCAATATATATATATATATATATATATATATATATATATATATATATATATATATATATATATATATATATTGTTTTTCAGTTCTAGATAAATGCTTTTTCGGAGACATTTTAAAGATTGCTTTAAGAAAAGAATACACCTGATTTCTATCTTAAATTTTAGAAGCATGATATCAAAGCAAGTTGTAAAATAAAATCAGTAACGAAAGTCCTAATAATGATAACTAAGAAAAAAAATGGAATTTGAAAAACAACGACCCAAATTACAATGTTACATTCTCAAGTCAGATATCTAATACTTTGAAGGTGGAACTCTGAAGGAACCATGTCATAATAAAAACATGAGAAATTTCCGATAAAGTCCTAATAATTTAAGTTAGTTTATGGTTTGATACCAACATTTATTTTTTGAAGAAAAATTCTCAGTTATAAAGTTTTATACGATAATATGTCATTTTCTGTTAAAAAAAAATACTATTTTATTAATTTGGTCAAAATATAAAATAATCGAGTATTTTTTGTTCAGAAAAATAAACGTTAGTATTAAACCGTAAACCGACCCGTAATATTAGGACTTTGTCTGATAATTTCCTAAAAACATTAGAAAATTTGAAACATAAGACCTCTCGTTATTCAATTACATATAAAAATAATACCTAATTGAGTGAAAAATCTTAAACATAGAGCATTGCTTTTCACTTGTCCTGAATATATTGACTTCAAAAATCTAAGAAACAAAAATCGTATATATAACGACGGCTGTAAACGAACTGAACGTTCAGCGAACTGTTCGTGAACCGTTCGGCGGAAAGTTCGTTTATGTTCGTTTATTTAATAAATGAATGAACATGAACACAAATTATCGTTCGTTTAATTAAACGAACGAACATGAACAATGGTCTCGTTCGTTCAATTATGTTCGTTAAAGTTCGTTTATGTTGTTCGTTTATGTTTGTTGATATAAGTTCATTTTATGTTCACATATGCTTAATTGTGTTTTATTACATTAGTGTATTATATGTTCATTTATGTTCATATATCTTAAATTACGCTTTTTATCTTTGTTCATTTATGTTCTTTTAGCATGTTCATGAACATAAACGAACGAACATGAACAATATAATTTGTTAAACGAACGAACATGAACAAGAAAAATCGTTCGTTCATCCGTTCGTGTTCATTTATTTATTCGGCTAACTTAAACAAACGAACATGAACAAGCCTCGTTTGTGTTCGTTCGGTTCGTTTACAGCCCTATATACACACATATAAGCTTCTTATCTGACAATCACACAAGTCGCAAGGATTCAAAATTAGCACAAAGAATCGAGAGACCGAAGCAAAAGGAGAATGTGAGAGATCTACAAGAAATGAGGATTAGGAGCAAGGAAGTAGAGAGAGAGAGAGAGAGAGAGAGAGAGAGAGAGAGAATCTGTTTGTGTGTTAAGCTATATATATATATATATATATATATATATATATATATATATATATATATATATATATATATACTAGTTTATAACCCGTGGGAACCACGGGTTATAAAATTAATTAAACTTTCATAATAAAAATTTATAATTATTAATCAATTGTTTTAAATAAATCATTTTGAATGAATTATTAATTAAGAGATATATCAAAATTTTAAGTTATTATAACTTCAAATTTAACATATAATTAGAAAATATAAATTTGAATTTTGAAATGAGTTGCATAATATATGTACATGACACATGACATAATATTAATGAGGAGTTGTATTAGAGTAACACTTGGTAAAAGGAGATTAAAACTATTCATTTATTACAATAGGCATATATATATATATATATATATATATATATATATATATATATATATATATATATATATATATCTTTGTGAACAAGATTTTCTTTTTTCTATTTATGGATTTTTTTAAAATACTTTTCCCCTTTTTTGTTTAGTGGTTTCCACGTGTCATGTGCTAAAAAAACCCACCGTTTTAATCCTTCCAGGGTGTAACCACACCGCTCAACCGCCTAATCCAGTTCTGGTTTAATTTCTCCTCTCCCACACTGCTCCCACCGTGACCGCTTCATCTACCACAACTTGGTTCGTGTTCTCCCCCAATTTTGTAGATTAGGGTTAAAAAAAAATTAAAGTTTCAACGAGAACCATCAAAAATACATACTACCGTTTCATTTTGTTTTTACTAAAATATAAATTGGAAAATAACTCGGATCTGGGGACTTACTGCTACTATATCAAGTTCCGGTGGCCGAAGGAGCGCGGATCGCAGTTTAGCGTCGGAGCTGGAACTAATCGCAGAAAGCAGTGGCATATTAGGCGATGAACAGCGTGAGTTCTTCACACGAAACTGAAAGAAAAAAAATAATAATTCATGTATTCTTTAAATTTCTCAATTAGGGCTTGCAGTTGAACCCTCCCTCAACAATCAAGATGCCTAAGTTCTTTATATTCGTGGACTTTCTGGATTTTACCGATTGCATTGCTGTGATCTGCATCTTTTCTTGTACTTATTATAATCCCTATGTGTTGTGAAGAGTATTAGCTATAAAAATGGCTTTCGTTAATGTGATCAATTGTTTCCTCGATTCCATCAGAGAAGTAAGTCAAGCTGATTGCACCCAACTATGGCCATATCTAAATGAAGCTCTAACCAAATTCCAGGTAAATTTTTACTTTTTGGTTTCTTAATCTTTTACTTTAAGCTTCATTATCTTTGGGTGATTGATTTTTAATCTCTTTAGCATCCTGCGGAGGTAGATAAGCTGTTGAAAATTCAGGGGGAATTAGATGAAACCAAAATTATCCTTGTAAGGTCTGTTTGTACCTTTTGCATTCGATACATTTGGTTTTCTCGCACCAGAGGCGGTGGAGCTCCTCAATAGAGTTCAACGAGTTATGCATTCTAATTTCATATCTCCTAGATCCACAAATGTTGTTTTCAAAAGAATTGGTTTTGTCATCCAGAAAGGGCTAGCGGCGCAGCTTGTTGCCCGTTTGCCTTCAATCGATATGTATTCAACTATTATAATTAAAGGAAATCCTGTAATTTCGACTGACCTTGTAAGCATATTTGTATTTTATTGTCATATTTTATATAAAATATGTGAGCTGATTATAAGATGATAAATGTCAAATTTTTATGTTTTCACTCATAAATCTTGATCTTTATGATGGCTGGTGCAGAGGCGGATCTGTGTGGTCGCCTGGGGTAGCCTATGCTACCCCTAAAAAATTCCCAAGCAATATAAGAAATTAAGAAGCGGAGATGCCTACGCTGGAAGAACACATTTGTGCTACCCCTAACAAATATGATGTACTATTGGTGAAGGAAGCAGGGAGGTACAATGCGGAGGATGAAGAGCTAATGAAGAAGGTGGAGGCGCAAAACGACCTCGAGAATTACACTTACAACATGAGGAACATGGTGAGGGATGAGAAATTTACGGCGAAGCTAACAGCGGAGGATAAGCAGAGCATTGAGAAGGCGGTGGACGATAGGTTGGTGTAGCTGGAGAAGAATCAACCGGCAGAGGTGGACAAACTAGAGGATAAATTGAAGGAATTGGAAGGGAATGGCTCACGGTGGTGCCGGAGGTAGCGGTGGTGTTGGGCCAAAGAATGAATAGGTTAATTAGGGTTGAATGTCGATGGTGGAGGAAGCTTGAAGGTATTTGCGTATATTTTGTACTCTATTATGTTCTTGTTGATGTAACGCGATTGAGTTTGGACCCTTGATTTCTAAATATAAATAGGGTTTGGACGCTTGGTTTCTAAATAAAAATAGTAGTATTGTGTGCATTGGCTTTTGTACAATTTGTTTTTCTTTGATACTTTGTCAGTTTTATTGATAATTGATTTTATTATTTTGTTGTAAAAATGGCTTTGTTATAATCACAAACGAATTTTTTATATCGATTTATATTTTAATTCAAACAATAATCTATGTATGACTTGAAATAAAATTAAATATTTTATTAAACATAAATATATTAATTGCTTGAATTTTCAGGGGTTTCGATTTCATGTCGGATTCGTGTCGTGCCAATACACTAAACGGGTTGAGAGGTCGTGACCCTAATCCGACCTGTTTAATTATCATGTTGTGTCATGTCAACCTGTTTATTTTCGTATTGAGTTTCGGGTTAAGGTTTATACCTTGTAAATATGTTTATACAAGTCTATAATATATAATATATTTATATAAACCGAACGTGTTTAACCCGAACCTGAAAAAACCATATTATATAAAACGGGGTAAAAAAATTGTGCTACCCCTTAACTCTTGTGCTGGCTCCGCTATTGGGCTGGTGTGTAATTGTCTGTGTTTTAGTATTATAAGAGATTAATGTTTTCCAAAGTAAAATACAATAAAATGATTAAGATTAACATATTTTTGTAAAACAACAACTATATATGAAACAATAAACAAGGAACACATACCTGGACCTGTTTTTTGGTGGGGCACAGTTATAAAGTCAACTTTCCGTATATGCCCCTCACTATGATTCCGGGCTATTACTTAGGATGTTTATATTCTGTTGATATCAACATTTCTGTCTTTTCTCATCTTATCATGAAATACCTTCACAATTGCAGGAGTTAGGATTGTTTGGTCTTTTCACATGATGTCTTCGTCTTCGTCTTCGTATTCTAATGATTCGAACTCTTTTATGGTAATCCTAACTTTTTATAATTGTTTTTCTTCTCATCTTTGTTTTTTCTCCCAAATTACCTCATTACATATTTTACTCATTTTAAATGTAATTATGTTTTTGTGTTTTTTTAATTGTGTAGGCAACCATGACACCGCCAAATCAATTTCCCAAAATCATAAGGACATACAACCGAACATTTTTTTCCCTGTTTTCTATGAAAATTTACTATCATCACACTTTAGAATAATGTCCCAAGTAGAAGGTCATAGTTTTTTTCAAATACCGAGTTTATGCATTGAAATGGCATCCAAATCTACATGAATTCGATTTTTTTATTTTACTTTTTGTAATTGGATATTTATTTACAGCCGTTGATTGGAATGACTGAAGCTTATGTTGGGTTGAGCGCAAAAGCAGCTCAACATCATTAGGTTTGCAATTTCTTCTTCGCCTTCTATTTATGATACACATGTACGGTTATGCGTTAAATGTACATGTAATCAGATAGGTATAGGAATCTGTATATGATCAATTGCAAAGTGAAAGTTAAATGTGTTAAAAGTTCTACTTGGATTCTCATATCTCAACAATTGTTTATTATTATTATTATTATTTTTGCTAATTTATTTTTTTAATGGCTTACCAAACTCATTATGTAACTTTCCATATGAAAGTACATTGCTTTTTTGGACAAAACAGAAAACTAAAAAAAAATAAAAGTAGATTGTAATTTCTTGCATTTAGCCTTGGATTTTCATGCATCTGACATTCTAAACATTAACAAAAAAAACCTGACGCGTGCGTTTACCTAGTTAACATATATTTTTTAAGGTAGTAGTGGGGAATGACGGCAAATGGACAATAACCTTCTCAAATTTTGGATTCTAATATTAGTATAATATTGTGTAAGACTTACAAAGATTTGAAAACAAGAGTTGTATACGATGCTCTAACTATTTTAAACTTTGGTTTTTTGATAAATATCACAAATATATATTATTAACATTGATTTTTCTTAAATGTCTCTAAACATAGAAAAAAACAATTAGAATAATTTGTTCATAGTCAAAGAGGATCTATCAATCGATTTGTCGTCAAACAAATGTTGAATACCATTGTAATAAAGAATCAGTTATGGAAGAACATAGTGATGAAGAAGTTGAATTTTGTGTCACTGCAATAATAATAATAATAATAATAATAATAATAATAATAATAATAATAATAATAATAAATAAATAAATAATAATAAAAAATAGAGGCGTCACCAACAACATATGTCGTCGATAAAGGCCCCTAAATTCGTCACTAAAGATATTATCGGTGACATGTTGTCGCTATTATCGCCTGTATCGCTTGTATCGCAATCGTCAAAGCCCTTTTATCGCCTGTATCGCAATCACCGGTAATACACCAAGTCGCCGGTACTAGTCTCGCCAACATTGTGTCTCTGATGCTAGTTGTCGCCGATAATGCCTTTTTTGTTTAATATTTTTGCTAAAATGCAATAATAAATTATATAAAATGCAGTAATAAAATTGCATATAATAGGAAATCCACTTTGTCAACATAAAATACTTAATAAAAATCCATAAAATTAAAGTCATTAACAAATGTACAACGTTAAAAAAATATATAAAGCTAAACATAAACTAGCCAATCATCCTTGCCTTATCTTCTATCTTCGAGCCCATTGTTCTCCTCATCGTTACACCCGATATCATCGCCATCTCTGCTTCCATTTTTTTACATTGATAGAAACCATTTAAAAAGTTTATTGCTATATGTAGGGGTTTTTTTTATAATAGCATCCACGGGATCGTCCACTTACAAAATAAATATGCACATTAATAATACCGTCCTAATTGTCAACATACAAAAATAGCAATAAATATAAACCAAACGGCATAACAAACTTACTATTAATTATCAAAACTGCCAACATATATACCATATGCAAATTAAACCAAACGGCATAACAAACTTACTATTAATTATCAAAACTGCCAACATATATACCATATGCAAATTATGCACATACCAACATACCAAACTACATATCAAACTTTAATTACTAAAGATATCAAAATACCGAACTATATCTCAAACTTCCAATTAATCATCAAAACTAACATACCATACTTCCAATTTATCAATATGTCAAAATACATATCAAATCTCCAATTACCAATGATACCAAACTAACATAAACTAAAATACCAAAGTAAGAACATGAACCAAACTTCCAATTAACAAAATATATAACAAATAATTAACAAGTATCAAAATTACTAAACTAACATGCATTTACCGGTCTTTATATGATAGTTTGAAATTAAAAATAATTTTGTTTATGTTACGTTTACCTCGTGTGGTTGTGAGGGATCTCCCTCACAATAGTTTGTCGTTCTATTTGAAGGCTTACACTCAATCCCTTTGATGTATCTTCATCAAGCACATAACACATTCCCAAATGACCCTGTCTCAACCATTGGTGTTAGGTTACTTCCTTCGAGTAAACCTTGTGTTTGCATTTCTAGCTCCTCCACTATAGTGGAGACTCGGATACCTAATGGACCGTTTAAGGTCGCTTTCTGAACTAATATTTTCACCTTGTGTCCGGGTTATAGGGATTCTAGCCTAGGATAGTCCAAAGGGACACTTGTGAATCTAGGCATAGAAACACAAGCCAAATTGCTATACGTATTCTTTGTTCGTTATAAAAGAGCGAGAGTTGGAAAGGTATCGACAACTCAATAGATGAGTAGTATTTATATTTAACATATTAGGTTACCTTCTTCTTAATTAGCTAAGATAATCACAATTTTAATGGCTCAATTAATGGTTTCCAAAAGTGATGAGATTTGTCAATCTGCCCCTTGGACCCCATAAGGGGCGCAACCCCCCTTGACTCCTGTCATTCTATTGTACCAACTGATAATTCGATCTTATATATGCATGCACTCCATATTCACCAAACTGTAACACCTGTATCTTGTATCTTGCAAATACATTGTAACACCCATAAAAATTGAGCCAAATTAAAACATTTTAATTCATGCAAAAACCATTAAGTTCATACATCTCGTTTTCAAAATAGTTTAAACATCAGAGTATCCCCCAGAACCATATCGCATAAATCATAAAACATGAGGAGTTGTACGATCATGCCTTCGCCTTGCCACGATCTCCTGAAGTACCTGAAACAATACACTAAACTGTAAGCCCGAAAGCTTAGTGAGTTACCCCCAAAATACCAACCACATAACCATACACATATCAAATCATATCATAATACAGAACATCCATGCATATCGAGTCTACAGTGTGACTGGTCCGCCCGCACCGGGCCTTCAGTCCACCTGGTCCACTCTCTGAGTCTACAGTATGACTGGTCCGCCCGCACCGGGCCTTCAGTCAGTTTGGTCCACTCCCCGAACCTTGGCACGTCTGGACCGCCCTCCTGGGGCCTTCAGCCTATCCGGACCGCTCGCTGGGCCTACGGTCTATCCGGTCCGCCCTGGGTATGTTGGCCTACAGCACAAAGCAGGACCCGCCTCAACCCAACCTTAGCCAAAAAACCATGTGCACATAAAACAGTCAGTCACATAATAATCTTCAGACAAACCGATCTATCAGATCAAACAGCATAACAACATCCTAACCAGGATACCGACCTAACCGGTCACTTACATAGCATTACCCTATATACCAGGATACCGACCTTAACCAGGTCACTAACATAACATTACCCTATATACCGGGTATCGATCTACCAAAGCAATAACATAACAAACAATATCCAAAATACCCTTGGAAATCAAACTGGTCAACTCTTGGTCAAAGTCAAAGT